AATCCAAGGGTAAGACTCCGCTTCGAGGAGTGTTCGGTTTGCAGGCACTCCCCGAGGCACAAGGATCAACCCCAGTCTGAACGGTGTGAGAGACCTGGAACGTTTTATTTATTATCACACACCTTGACCTCCCCCGCGAACATGGAGAGCTTGGTCCCCTTCATGTCCATGCACGTGAACAGCTTCCCCTCGGGGTTCTTGTCGAGCTCCTGTTCGGCCGCAATAGTTCCGCCGTACATGTAGTTCCACCGCAAAAATGTTGCCCCGCAATGGTTTGCATTGATTCCCCACCAAAAAAGCACGAAAGAACAAAAAAAGGGCACGGACGCAAAATAAAAAACACGAAACAGGGAGGTATGAAAGGAGCGTTTAGCCCCAAGGTGAGTGAAGTACCGAAGGGTAGAGGAGGTGGTAGAGGCTGGCGGCCAGGGGTTCAGTGGGAAAAACACCAGCACGGAGACAAACAGCCTCCAGGAAACGGCTGAACCAACAACCTTTTGGTCAACCCACCTATCTGTACCACCCAACATCAATGACCGACAAAAATAAGATCTACTACATCTCCCAAAAAAAAAGACAAGAGCGGACGGAGGGAGACCCTCCGGCCGTGTGCTAACGGAGGCGAGAAATACGTATTCTTCTGTCTTACGTCGATGACGGGCCTGGTTCATCACCTTCCACAAGAACTCCGTGATGTACACGTAGTGGCGGCAGAGCGAGTCCATGTCGAGTCCGTTTTCCCTCAGTTTGTTCAGGTCGATCTTACCGGGGATCTCGTAGTACACTACGCTACCTGTGGGGGTCCCGCGGAGTTGAGCAGACACCAGCGGGCGGGGGGAGGGCAGGCCAAGAGTCAAATCAAGTCAGAAAAAAAGAGGGTCGACAGCTGGGAACATGCGGTTGCGGCGGCCGGTCCCGCCGCTGCGTTGTTGAATACGTGGATACCTTTCGACAGGAAGAAGCCCTGGCATACGCAAGCGCATGCTAAGACGTCAAACACACTAGGGCTGTTTACGCCTTCCAACCGAGGGGAAATATGCGGGGGCACGGCAGCGGATCACTCGTCTAAACAGGGTACTTGAAACACGGAAATGGACCATTTCGTTCCGGCGAAACACCGGTTCTCTACCGACACGCTGCGGGAAAGTTGATCCAGGCGGCAAGAGCCGGAGGAACGGACACAGCTATGGGTGTACACGGACGGTGTGCCAACGAAAAACGTCATGTAACGAACCGCCATGGACCCTTTTCTATCGCATGCACGGCTTTTCTGTCGCATCCATGAATGTCCGAAAGCCGTGGTGGCACTACTGCAGCAGGTCGAATGCATACGAAATTCTAACGCAGAATGGGCCCGCTCAGCTACGGAGTGATGGTACAATACACCACTCGTCTTGGTTTTCGAGGAAAACTGTAGCTGCGAGGCACTAGTATACCACGCGGGGGGGGGATCTCACCGTTTTTTGCGTGTTTGAAGTAGAAGTGCGGGTAGTACCTCTTGATGATGTCGAAGTGGGGGCAAGCCTCGTCCAAGATGCCGTCCACCTTTTCTTCTTCTCTCCACTGTTAAAACGGGGTTTCGATATGCGACAGGGGAGGGGTACTCGTCATGTTTTGCATGCCTTGGCTGTTAGAGCATTCGCCACGTGTCCTATAGAGGACGGGGCATTGGTTGGTAGTTGAGGGGCGAGAGAGCGCAAGTCGGACCTGCTGCTGGGACATGAAGTCAGGTGGAAGGATGGCGTTTCCTGTTTTCGGAAATCACAACCACAGCAACAGCCAAAAAATGCTGCAGCAGCGAGACTCAAGATTCTTGCTGGAAGGGAAGAGCATAACGTCGGCAGCGACGTCTTCGTGAACCCTTACGTCTTAAGCTGTTGCCGTTTTTTTTATATATACATTTTTTGTCTGCACTTCAAATCAGCACTCACAACACTGGTGCCGTTTACTCCAGCCCGTGGTCACACAGAAAAGACCCTCTCTACCCTCCCCTCCTGTGGTACTTTGCTTCGATCTTTAATGCGAGAATAGTCCAGCACTCTCTTCCCTCTGTGTACACGCGAACTAGCGCTATCCACTGGGCCAGGAGCGGAAGCGAGAGAAAAACTCACTTTGCAAGAAAAGCTCGATTACGCCGGGATTCGAACCTCTCACCTGACCTATAGAAGGTTTCTAGGATACCAAATAGACCACCGGGGCGACTGTCGGTGAACGATCATCGACTGAGCCCGCTTCTAAGTCAAATTGCTTCCGGCACACAGCCAGCATTTTTGTGTCGCTCGTGTTGGTTGCTGTGGACAGAACGTGCCTCGAGGAAAGCAGTTCGACAGTATTTTTTCCTCCCGCTGCCGGAGGATGCTTTCGATCGACCCCTTCACACTCTCAAGGGACCGGCCATGGCCACCCCAATGACACGGATTTCAACACAACGCCACCGAAAGGGCCATCGGCATTACCTACCATAGGATTCTAATGCAGCGTGATTGGAGTAGATGGGCTTGGTAGTGGAACAGCAAGTGTTGATAGTGATGTTGGACGAGAGAGAGAGAAAGAAAGAGAGAGAGATAGCGTGGTTTTTGTTCACCAGCAACATCGTGTGCAATGCGATGCGCCACAGAAGCACGCGAACATACGCACAGAAGCGGTGCAATTCACTTCTTGGTGAAAGGACAAGGAAAATCGTTACACACGGTTCGCATGTTGTCGCTTGCGGCTGGCAAATGGTCATTGCCAAACGCAACACCGCGGGCGGCGAGAACTCTTTGAAACCGTTGTCGCGAAAGAAACCCATAACCATCAATAGCGGCATAAAAAAACATGTTTGCTACGATACAAGGCTTCCCCAAGGTGATCTTCAACTCTGCATGTTGTCACCCATCAAAGTTCAGCGATGAACAACCGTCACCCATCTTTGCTACTGTGGGCGTTCGCAAAGCAGACGTTGTAAGCCTTCCCACCGTCGTTTTTTGTCGAAGCAAGGGGAGCTGGTGGCGTCAAGTTCTGCTCAACACGTACGGCATTCTATCCCGGGAATTAGGCATTCTTGGATGCTCCTGTATAACGTTGGAGGCTCGGGTTTAGCAACAAGCTGGCCGCTACGCCTCAGAATAATCCGATGTGTTGGCTCGTCGTAAGGCGAAGACGTCGTTTGAATACGACATCAATCCCTCTCTGGTAACAGGAAACCCGATTCAACAGAAAAAACTTTGCAATTAATGGGCCTCTGATTATCCCCGAGACTCGTGACTCGCCCTCTCTGTGGGAGTAACAACTGACGACCTCCTGTAGGCGTTGGCGTTGGTTTGGGGAATCGCGTAGTCTACAAGTAACGTTGTTCCGAAGTTGGAGCATACTTACTATTTCGTAGTCACGACACAACAACGTCCCGGTTCCGGCTTTGCCTAGCCGCTGTTTCGGGCACCTGCAGAGAGACACGTTTTCGTTTTCGCAAGCCCCTGAATAAGGATCCTCGCCCACCGGAACGCCACTTCAACGGGGAAGGACCTCATAACACCCTTGTCGTGGTGTGTTCCCACTCCTAAGAACATGTGGTCGCTGAGTCCCTGGAATCCATCCCAAAAACAGCACAAGTTGTACCGCCAGCGAGAACTCTACCTCAGCAAGCGATGGTTTCTACCATCGATCAAGTTGACAGCCCTCACTTGATGCATGATAACACCACGTGCATCGTTCGTGGGTATACACATGCACTAGTCCGCTATCCCACGCGTTGCGTCCTTCGGCCCGTTCTGCTGGGGGATCTTCCGTGTCTCCAAAAAATCCGAGCAACTACCCCGAAGGCTCTGCTGTAACGAGGGCACTCACGTAAAATACAGCTGGTACAACCACTCCCACGTTTGCTGTGTGCTGTTTCACGTACTGCGCATTCGTTTCAGCGAACACTCTATGCCCCTGAGTCACACTTCGCGCCTCTCGAGCATCCCCACAGGATGCTCTGCTTCGGTCGTGAACATACATCCGTACAGTACACGTGTGATGTGTTGAAGGCATCGACAGGACGCACCATCATCGAGTTACGCCGACGTGCAACAACTCTGGCCATAGCGCCGGAGCAACTGCTGTGTGATTCAGGCAGACAGCAGGCGAGCCTCGCGGCCCACTGCCCGCCGTGCTGTTTCCCCCGGCGGGCCTGCGAGAGGTCGCCACCACCCGAGAGATGTGGGGTTAACCGTTGCTGCTGTGTACTTGCAGTCTACAAACACCTCGAGAATGTTACTCTGCGGAAGAAGCGCAGTTCAAGGGGCGGCCGCGGGCTCCCTCACCTTAAGGGTGGCGATCCATCGTCGGCGAGCTTCGACAACGTCCCCTTCCATGCCCTTCACGTAACGGATGGGGATCTCCATGTCCTTGGGGTACCCATCCTCCGCTAGCTCGCTAGTGGTTGCACTGCTGCTGCTGCTGCCGTTTGTCGCAGCTGTCAGGACGGCCTCTGGTGTCGAACCTCGTAACGACGCCGCGGTCGTCGCTGTTGCCTGCTGCTGTGTTGTTGTCGTCACTTCCGGAGCGTCCGCAAAGGTCGACATGGCCGCGATTCTACCCCTCTCTCTCTCGCGGATGCCCCAGCTCGCTGGGCTCGCGATCTCAGCTGCTGCAGTCACCGACTGAAGTGAGAACAAGTCGTAGAACAGGGTACAGAGTGCAGAGCTCGTGGGCGTGCTGACGACCAAATGCTCAGCGGATGCTTTGTTTGTCACGGCGAGTCCTCGCTATGTGTTAAGCCAGTCACACGTAGGTCGGTGAAATCGTACAGATACGTAGTGTAGCACCGCCCGTGAGGTAGGAATGAGAGGTAGGTACGGAGTGCTGCTGCAACCTTGTCGTAAAGCTAGGACGACGGCGGTGGTAGGTGCGGCCTGACATTTACCTTTTATGCCGAACGAAGTGTTCCATGACCACCTTGATTGGCGTTCTTTGGTTAGGATTCGGGGCTGGCCTGAAAAAAAAAAGGAAGAGAGAAGAGCGGCGCGCACGTGGGGTTCGGGAGGAAGAGCAGCGCAGAGAGAGAGACTGGGAGATCAGAACGAGATCACAGCAGCAACAGCAGGAGGAGGTGTTGATCGCTAAGAGAATTGAGGGGATCGCCAGCAGCCGTCGTGGGAAGTAGAGCGGAGACGTGTGCAAGAGCACATCAGCAGCGGCGGCGCGAGACGATGAGGGGCGTTGACGCGTGTACAGCAGGAGCATTCTTGGCTTTGATGGGCGTCACACGAGGTGCGCGTGTGTGCGAGGGAGGGAGATAATGGGAGGAAGGGCTGTTCTGTGCGACACGCCCCACAAGCAGTTGTCGGTTGATGAAGACGTCGGCTTCGAGAGTTACATCTTCGTGCGTTTGTGTTGGCAGACCTGCATGTTCGATTGCGGCATCCTCGGAGCATGTGTGTGTCCAGGTGTCCACTTTGCGTGTCGCGTGTGTCGGTGTTGTTAGGGTAGCGGCGTCCTTGGCGCCAGGCTGTGTGTCCACGTACGCGTGTGCTCCTGATTCATTCCTATCTTTCTAAGCCTTCGCGAGGCTAGGCAACGCCGAGAAAACTTTCCATGGTCCGTGGGTATGATCATGATCGATCATGAACACGTGCAATCTGATCCTGCTGTTGAACCTTCGAGTCAGATTACGTCATGCCGACAACTTTCTTGAACACCCGTGTCTCGATCTGCGCGTGTATGAGCGAGCGCACCGGACGTGAGCACAATGTGTGTTTTCGTCCTATTTATTATGGCGACAGCAATCTCCCCATTTTTCGCGGTGAGACGTGTGCTACACTTTTCAGCGTATGTAGAGTACTACACTTTTCATTGTATTTTTTCGTACATGTTTAGACCATCCAGCGTCACACGGGAGGGGGTAAACACCAGGGCTTTTTTCTTCTTTTTATTTATTTTCATGCCCCACCTTCCTCCTGCCGTGCGTGCTGAATTTATTTTTATCGCGAGAAGGGTCCAGCTATCCCTTTCCCTCGTCAACGGTGCTAACGTCGAAGTTTGGTACCCACGAGANTTGTATTTTTTCGTACATGTTTAGACCATCCAGCGTCACACGGGAGGGGGTAAACACCAGGGCTTTTTTCTTCTTTTTATTTATTTTCATGCCCCACCTTCCTCCTGCCGTGCGTGCTGAATTTATTTTTATCGCGAGAAGGGTCCAGCTATCCCTTTCCCTCGTCAACGGTGCTAACGTCGAAGTTTGGTACCCACGAGAGCTTTTTTTAGCTATATTTCGCTTTCAACCGCAGATTTCGTAAATTTTTCACCCCATGGGGATCCGAACTCACGACCTTTGCGACGAGCGGATTACGAGGATACCACTAGACCACCGGGGTGACCAGTGCCAGAGCATTGCTATTCATACGACAAGTGCATTGACCGCCACAGCAGTCAGGCGGGAGAGGAGGCTTGCATGGCACAAAACAATGGCTGCACTCGATTGAACGTGGTCTTTCGTTCAGACGAACATGTGCCACAGAGCCTGCGTGGTGCTATACCTCACCGGATCTTTTTTTACCACCTCCGGTTGTGACCCGTTGTTTTCATTTGGTTGAAAACCTTGGGGCAGCGGTTCCGATGCCGGGTATACCCCGAAATGCCTATGCTCTTCGATGCCTATCTCGACACCTCACTCCCGACTACGGGCATAAACTGGCTATACCCATCACCGCATGACCAGCTGCACTTGGACAGTGCGCCCTTGGAACACCCACGTCTAGTAATACATGGCTGTGACTGCTGTTGGTCCTTGTGTACTCCCTGCTCTCTGTGTCTCCTGCCCGGCTTGCAACCGCATGGCGTAGGCTTTGTCCCATACGGGACACCCGCCATCCGATCGGCCGCTGCTACCTTGGGCGGCAGTCGCACTAGCGATAGCACGAGGCGGGCACGACAAGAAACCTTGCGGCCAACCTTCTCTGCCCTGCAGATGCACCAGGTCACTATTGAGGTGAGACAAGAGGTACTGCTGTGCAGTGAACGGAGATTTCGTAGACTTTCAGACCACCGTTCCCCAGAGGTTCAGCTTGTTTCCCAATGTATGTATCATCCCGCTTATTCCTGGGCGCCTAAATATGTGTCTTTCGGTATTTTGAACGCACCGGGAGTCACTCAGAAGGAAAATAGAAGCTGAACTGTCGCTGACGCTATGGATTCATTGCTCATCTATCTTGGACTCTTTTCCTCGACAAAGATGGATTCGTTGGGTCATACTGATGAAAAACAAAATAATATACAGATGCTTTTGTCCTTAGCTCCAACTGGCATTACTGATTACTCAGTGTTAGGCTTACACAAACTCAAAATAAGCCAAGTCTCCAGTTGGTTTCAATCAACTTACTGAGAAGACTTCACCACATCCCTTTCGACTGAGGTTATATCTCGAACGGGTAGTCTTTCTGTGAGGTTGTACAAAATAATACACGAGGATGACAAAAAATATGCGACTGGTCTTCCAATACTGCGGGGGACCCTCTATACTGCCGGTTGAATAGTGCCGGTGCCCGGTAAAATCATGCCAAGGTTCTCGGCTCGCACACACTGAAATGCCCATGTCTTTCTGTCCTGTGAATAGTGCCGGTGTAACCCACATGATACACATGTGCATGGGCATTTACATGCTGCTGCGGTCTGTTCACCCCGGATGACATCGCGTTCCAGCATTATCAACGCCGTCAACCCTGACAGGTAGGGTTGGGCGCCCGTTCTCTCGCAGAAAAGGCTTGAATGCGAGCAAACTTTCGCCTTCGCTGCGAGGGAACAGGTGCCTTATCTTTCGTGTTGAGTTGAGTAAGTTTTCGTACGGTTGGACGGGGGTCCATATGGGATGAACGGGCCGCAGCAATATGGTGTGGAGTGTTCGTTTTTCTCCAACCATATTTGGGGGTTTTACAAGTCGCATGTTTTTGTTGCTTGGCGTATGCCTTGTTTCCGTTCTTTTCTTTGGTGTTTGCATTGTCTTTTTTCGGAACGGGCCTATCGTGATGACCATTTGAAAAGAGGTAAAGAGCAGGAGTAGATGAAAGCAGTTACCGTTTTCCGACGGTCCGTAGCAGTCGCTCGGCACGCCGCAATGACCACTGTGTCGCAGCGTCCAGGACTTCCGGCGTCAATGAGGTGGACTTTCGCACCAGCAGCAGGGGTTTAATTGGGCAGGGTGTTTGACGGGAAGGTCAAGTCAAGAATACCGAAGATGGAGAAGGACAAGAATGTCGATAGAGGTTGCGTTGCACCACTAGAAACCGCGTAGCCGTGGGTGTAACGGTAGAGTCAGACTCGACACAGTCAGGAATCACTTCGGAACTTGTATCAGGAGGATAATTTTTTTGTGTTGTTTCGCCCCTCGGTATCCGTCAACTCTGTAACGTCTACGATTGTGCAGCACAAGCAGGTTTAACCGTGCATGCCCAACATGGACAATAAATAGTGCACGCTACCGACTCCAGGCATCACTACCATGTGGAACCTCCCAACTCACAACAATGATCGCGGTAAACATCTCTGCTTCGTGTCTACCATGTTCTGTTTTTCTGGTTGGTTATGTGCACAATAGCTCACCTACAGCGCGAGGGTGAATCCAGCGTGTCCGGGTACAGTATATCCACCGTGCTGGAGTCCTAGCGCAATGCGTCCTGCCGCCATGATTACGGGCACACCACACCGCTGCCAAGCCTCAAGAAGGACCAAAACTCAAATTAATAGTGACCACATTGTCACACCATTTTGTGGTCATGCCACCATAACCACAGTGCCTCTTGGCTGTGTTTTGTCTTGTTTTTGTTGTCCTTTGCGCCTTCTCATTTTATTGTTTTTTTGTCGTCGTTGTTTTTTCTTCTGCGCACCAGCACGAGGGAACGTCCACCGTGCTGGAGGTGGACGAAAACACGACGATCCTTGAGGCCGCCCTCGATAACGACATCGACCTTCCGCACGACTGCAAGCTGGGGGTGTGCCTGACGTGCCCCTCCAAGGTGGTGAGCGGGGAGGTGGACCAGAGCGACGGGACGCTGGAGGACAGCGTCACGGCGCTGGTGGGTGGACGATTTTAGTTTTTTGTTTTTCTGCTACTTCTGCTGTTGTTCGATTATGAAAGTTGTGGGTATATTGTTGGTCGTTGATGATGAAAGTTGTGTTGCTGCCTCTTTTCGTTTTTGGAGAAATAAATACAATGGGGCGTCGGGTATTCTCTTGAGTCGAAACTAGTATAACTCTTTACCTGACTCGATCCCTTCTTAGTGGTACGGGCGACATTGACGTGGAACACATATGGGTGGCATAGTAGACTCATTTGTTTCTCGAGGAGGGGATGGCAGCATAGATTCATTGTCGGCCACCCCACCTGATCATACTTGCGGCGCATCTCGAGAGACTGATCGGTTGGTGTTTGCTCGGTAACAGCAGTACCCCCAAAATCGTCTTCCTCCCGTGTCTTAGCATGTACGCGCGATGAATTTCGTCTTGCGTTTGTTTTTTCGTGAGCATCCCGCTCATTCCAGTCTCGCACTCGCTGGTCTTACTCCGCCCGTACACACGCTATCGGAAAAATCATGGCAGGGATACGCGCTGACGTGCTGCACATACGCCAGGTCGGACGTGACGATCCGATCGGTAGAAGAGGACGAACTCGTCGGCGCCCAGTTCAGCGATCGATCATAGTAGAAGGAAGGGGCACATCAGGCCATGCTCTGCTTGCACCACGCACGGATCCAATAAGCCTGTTAAATCACGTTTGGGAAGAGCATTTTCCATTTTGCAAGAGGGTAGAGTACGGTGGGGCTCACTGGTGAAGGGCGTGGGATCCACGGCTGGGCTTCTGGGGGGTGAGAGGAATTAAAAATACTCAACTCTGCGTGAAGGTTTGTATCAGGCATGAAGCATGGGAGAGGTTGGCACACTTTTACGGGAAAGTACTCTGTGCGCCTCGGGTGTAGGCTGACCGGAGGGGATTTGTGCGAGATTAGAGCGCTGCTATCGCACATGCAGGGTGCCATGCTGGCAATCCAACACGCTCGCTATGCAACGACCAAGTGAAATGGCTTGAGTCTGGCGCGGAGGTAGATACAGCTTAGAGAAATGTTGCTGGAAGTGGTAGGTTGTATTTTGCGGGGATATCTTGCGAATATGGACGTACATGGCGGGAAAGAGCGAGAGCCCTCGAAGCGTCAGAGTTCATGGTTCGGAAGTGCTCCACAAGCAGGTGGCAAAAAATTTCTCCAGAACCCAGAACAACCCTTCGAAGCCGGTCCCCAGGGAGGGCGAGAGGGAGCTAGATCAAGAGAGGGGAGAAAGCTGTGGCAGAGGCCGTCTCTCTTGTCCATTGAGAGCTGCTTGGCTGCTGAAACGTGTGGCAGAGAGCAGGCGAGGCATGCCATTTTTTTTTCAGCACGGGAAGCAGTCGATGGTGCTAACTGTCTGTGATACCCTCGATAGCAGCTTCTGAGTTTTTAGATAATTCACCAAAGACTTATATCGCTTTCAAGCAGAGTTCGATGTGACGTGCAGATGTATGTTGATGTTGGACGATTGGCGGCTAGAACTCTTTGGACGAACGTCCGGTTTCTCGCGCAGTCTCCTTGTTATGCATTTTCCTGGCTTTGTATGAAGGACGGATTGCATCACCTACCTCAAGAGTTACCTACCCAACCCGGGACGAAGACGGGCAGGTGTTGTGCGAGAAAGTCGTTACATCCATCCATCCATGCAGAGTGAAGGCTGTTCGGTGACGTCGATCTGAAAGAAAAAGAACATGGTGCACCTCTCTCCTTCGAAGATTTACTTGCTTTTTCTCCCGAGGAATGTGCATTCCGCCTGCCTTCTCACCCAACCGCATGACACTCCACCCATGCATCAATCATATGGTTGTCGATCCCACACTCTCAGCTCGATAGCTACGTGCGCTACGTTGTCGTCACAGCACCGTCCCCTACTTCAACAAGCAAATCGATCCAAGATTTACACACTTCATTTCAATAGTCCCCAGCAGGCCTTTGATGAGGGGTAAGGATCGATCGGTAAAAAGAAGGAGTCCACAAAAAGACACATTCCTCCGGGCCCCTCGCCGGAAGTAGGGGAGGGGCAGCTTCAACCGCACAATAATGATCGGTGTGTTCGAAAAAGGCGGTCCATCTGTCTTGCTCGTGATCGTTGTGTTGTAGCACGGTAACCGCGTCGCTCTCTCTCGTGTATGTGTGTGTGTGTGTGAGAGAGAGAGAGAGAGAGAGAGAGAGGCTGCTAATCTGCTCGTCGCTTGCATTTGTCACAGAAGCTAAAGACTAGTTCGCTGTTGATGTTGTACATCATGCATGTGGGATAGAGGCAAAAATGCTTTGTACCTATCGAGACCTATCGACGCAATACATGAATTTAGAAACAAAAGTCACATCAAAAGTCTGCAAGGTGCATCGTTTCGTGCTACTAGATAATGCCCATACACTATCAAACTAGCGGAGACTGCCGCTGTACAACACGACAACAAGGATCCGGTCTAGACCACATGTCATATCCTCCAATATCCTCACTCCACCCCAACAAAATCCACAAGGGGGGTCGCCACGTAAACGTGTATTGAAACACGGGGGGGGCTGGGGGGATATCTATCGGAGGAACAACCAGCCAAAGTTACAGACCACGCCAAGGCATACCTCCAAAACCAGGTCTAAAGACACGCACACCGTCGGATACCGCAGCCTAGCTCTGAGGTGACGCTTGTCTGCAGGTCTGGGGAGAGAGTGCAACCGTTAATTTCTGCCTGCAGCGGACGTCCCCGGCGGTGTTATCTACACGTGGGCAGCAGGTTCGGGCTCACACACACGAAGGGGGGTGTTCTTACACGAACACACAAAGGATGTCGACTCCGGCTAGAAGACGGTTGATGCGGGACTTCAGGCGGCTCCAAAACGACCCTCCGTCTGGTGTCACGGGGGCGCCGATGGACAATAACATCCTGGCGTGGCAGGTAGGTGTTGTCGTTGAGTTCAGATCACCCGCTGCGCTGTGTACACGTCGAAAACTCGAAAAATCAAAATCGCACATCGTTCCTCCGTTTTCGTCAGCGCCGAGGTTACAGGTGGTTATTTTGCACACAGCAGTAGGTGGCAGCAGATATGGGAGGAAGCGTGAGCGCCGCTAGGGGCGATCGCACGTGTGCCTTGTACCGGTCTTAGCACGAAGCGTCATCGCGTACGCCTCGGGCGGGTGTCTGTAGAATTATGTTGTCTCTCTCACACTTGATGTGTTACTGGCCTAGACTATTGCTGTAATAAGGACTTGTTGTTGCTCTTCTCCCGCAGGGTTGAGGCGGATACAGTATGGGCGTAAATTTGTATACACTCGCTCTCTGTGACCGAAGCCACTCTTCACCGGTGTGAAGGCGTACTGCTGTATCCTAGTGCTGTACCCATGCAGACTTTGTTGTTCGCGAAGCAGCGGACACAAGTCAGGTCAACAAGAAGTAGTATATAGTGAGAGGGACAACATTCTTTTTTTTTATCCGACTGTGGGGTAGATATGAGGAGGCGAAACACAACAGCCAGTAGCAGCAGGGACGGCGAGAGGGAGAAGAACACGTCTTGCTGAATAGCTGCATGAGGCACCTCCAACGGTATACCGTGAGAGTGGTCTGTCCTTTGTCCCCAGGTTGGTCGAAAGCAGCAGCAGTACATGCCGCATGCGGCATGAACGGATTTTTTTGTCAAATCACACCCGCTCCCGATCAGCACCGCTCCCTGTGAAACTTTTTTTTATTTTTTCAACGCGTGTGCCTCCCTCGGTGTGCTAAATAGCTAAATAGCGGGCACGCACTCCTCCCTGTGGCGATTCTACTGCCGTCGTTGCGAATGCAACAATCTGTGTGTGGTTTAGAATTTAACATGTCGTTCCACGACATATTGCACTTTGTATTGGCGGCAGGGGAAGGTCATTTACCCCAAAAAACAAACACAGCAGGAGCATGCAAGCAACTCGATTTTTGGCTCTGGATTGGCGAGCCCAGCCGTGTGAATCCCAAGCTACGGGGTACGGCCTTGCTAGGTTGCGTAACGTCGTGCGAAGCCTGCTAACCATAGGTCATCCCTCGGGGGGGAACCTTTTTTTTTTTTTTCATTGCGGCTTTCACCCATGCCGCGTGCTCATGCCGGGGAGACCCCTTTTCCCCCGCGCCGCGGGACTGAACGGAAGTTCGTCGGCACTTTTCCTGCGGCGTTCGATACCTCCCTTGACAACAGCGCCACCACATCAACTGCTCTTTGTATCCAGTTTTTGTTGGAACGACCGCAGCAAGTACGTCCGGACACAGACAAGTTCCTTGAGTACCGATGCGCTTCCTGCCGCCGGCGTGTTGGAGCATTTTCGCCGGGAGGCGTGCTGCTGCTGCTGCTGCGTACCAGCCTCACCAAACGACCGACCTCGTTGCCTCTCTCTCCCTCTTTATGCCGCGGCGGAAGTATTGCCGTACTTTCTCGAACGCATGGTTCAAATCGCCTACCAGCTTGAAATCCCGGGCACCTGCCGGATTTGGTTCGTACAATCGTAATATAATAGTCGAGGTTTTTCAAGTGCTGCTTTGAGTCGCCGCCGTCGGATACCGATTTTGCGTCAATACATGTTGCAACTCGACGAAAGGAAGAAACATGTGTATCTTTTCTAAATTTTTTCCATCGACAGAGGATGCCGAGTTAAAATGAAGACTGCTGATTGGCGCGAACCGAGTAATGTCCTTCCGGCCGTCTCTTTCTTTTCCTTTTTGCTCTCTAACAAATAAATCAAAGTACTCACGTCTCTTTTTGGCATTTTCCCGCATTTTTCGTGCCATGTCCAACGAGTACCACATGTTATTTTCTTCCAAATGTGATAGCAGAAATTTTCTGTGCGTGTTGTACATTCTCTTACCTTGATATATTTGTAATTCAACCTGAACACAACCAATCCGTCTCCCGAAGATACTAGTCTTGTTTTTGTTATTTTTTTGCCCTTTTGCTCGACGTACTACCAGGGTATGTCGGTGTGCGTGGCTGCTTTGGGGTTCCCGGTTGGTTTAGACTACAGGTACATGGTCAACAGAGGATGCCAACCGTCCTACAACATGTTCACGCACCCGAGCGAATTGGCTGCTGGCCCTCACCGTACGCAGTAGCAATGCCGCAACTTACCAAAGCCCATAGCGCACAAACTACGCCGCTAGAGGCTGTTGATGAAAATCCCTGCACTCGGCGATCGCCGCCGCCGCCGCTGCCGCTGCGGGTGCTGCTGTTGTTGTTGCTGTTGCTGCCTTGGTAAGCAAGTGGTTTGGTTTTCTCGTTTGTGGCAAGCTTTCACAACGGCGGTGGTGCGCAAAGGGGATCGGCGTTGAGCCCCTTTTCTCGCAAGCGGTGGAATCGAGCGTTTAGAGGGGTTGGTGTTGCCGGGCGGGGGGATGGCAAGGCGGAACAGCGCTTTCATGAGGAGAGGCCTGCCTCGCACGATGCTATTCTGGGTTGTACACCTTGTCCAACTCCGTGAGGACGCCTTCGGCCACCAGGCACTTGAATAATTGCTTTATTGGCACCTCTGTACGACATGACAGTAAGGCAAATAGTGTCAACTTCTTGACGGCCAGAGGCGTCTTCGCAGAGTTGGACAAAGTCTACGACCTGGGGTGGCACTGTGCAAGGCTTGCCCTCCTCAAGAAACTGCTGTTCGGCTTTGCCATCCACAGCAACCAATCCCATCGAGCACCTCCACACGCTGGAATTTCTCCATGTCCGCTTGCGAGGAGATCGGCTGAACGCCTGTTGTAGAGTGTTTACGTTTCTCCGCGTAAACTGAGACTTGTTTTGGTAGTGTGTGTACACGAGGAGAGGGAGACAATGGTCCATGCCAGAGGGAAGGAGTGCCTCGAGAAACACACCATTGAATAGGGTCCCCCTATCATCAAGGTGTCCCCACCCGCTAGCTCGCTTTTCCCATACCTCTTTAGTGTCTACTTGCGCGAGATGAGGTCGTGTTTGGACGCAAGTTTGCTGCTGTGCCATTTGTTGATGCTCGGGCAGGCGGCATGATTTAACAAACGTATGTATTTTTGCACCTTGTTTTCTCCATGCTTGACGACTGCTGTTCTTGTTGACACTCCCGGTGTCCCTGTGCACCGCATCGTACCGTACCGTACCGTAGCGTTCCATGGTCCAACCCATGGGATACAAGGAAAGTCGTTCCGTCGTCATGAACTTAACTCTAACGTCTTTTTCGCCGATACCATCGATGTTCCGTTCATGTACCGCGATCCATCTGTCGCTTTCGCTTTCCATACGTCGTCCGGCCCGGTTGGTGGAATGAAATGGAACGGGACACGGGATGGGATGGGATGATGGGATGGGTTGGTAAATCACTTCATGGTTCTATCTAACCAAAGGCCGTGATATTCGGGCCGGACGATACGCCGTGGGAAGGAGGGACGTTCAAGCTCCTGCTTGAGTTTTCCGAGGACTACCCGAACAAGCCGCCGTCCGTCCGGTTCCTCACGCGCATGTGAGTTTAGAGCTTAGCAGTTGGGACCAAGGAGGTTTCGGTTGATTTCATCCGTTATTGCTGAGGGTGAGGTTGTGATGCATGATAGCCAATGGTTTCGTCGCCATCCATGATAGCCAAGGGCTCGGTTGCCATCCGTGATAAGCCAGGGTCTCGTTCGTCATCCATGATAGCCGAGGGTCTCGACTGTCATTCATGATAACCGAGGGTTCGGTAGTCAACCATGATAGAACGTAAGTCGTACTCACCTGCTCTACCGCCTTGTTGCTGTCTTCACCTTTGTTGTTGCTGTCGTGACATCATCAGCCGTGTCTATTTTTTTTTTTTGTCGTCGTTGTTGTTTGCAAGGGAGAACGTCGCGAAATCGGACCGGCCGCAAACGTAGTGGTGACCACAGTCCTTCGGTTTTCCTCCTAGTTGGCGTGTGAAATTGTGTAGCCAGCTCCACGTGTGTAGTACACTGGTGCCAGACGGGCCTTGTGGCCGTGTCTGGTGACCGTTCGCTGATATTGCGCGAAATACGGATGAGCAGATGGGTAGCCCCTTCTCAAATGAATCGAACCAGCTCCTCCAGCATCCTTACCGCGTCACTCAACGTCCGATAAGGGCAGTATCTTGTACCCTTGCTCATCGTGTGCGGATCGAGGACCTGACTTTCCTTAAATGTTTTGTCTCGCGACTTTGAAAGGACCTAGCCTCGTCCATAGTTGTATCTGCGGTATTTTTGTTCCTATACGTCTGACAACGTTGCGCTGTTGTGGGCGGGTCGGGGGGCCCGTGCCTGGACGTGGAGTTGACTGGGGGGGTCATGTCGCAATCTGCGTGAACCCCAAGTTGAGTTGGGTATGGGGATCCAATTATACTGGTTTCGGTATGGGGACGTCCATTGTACTTGGTTTAGTGCATGCTTTTCGAAAAAAAACACAATATACGCGCAAAGCTGTGTTCGTTCGGCTGGACCCCGCCCATCATGAATATCCTCGAGCAAGTGGAAACCGGGCCCTGTCTTGTCGCACCTATTACAGGCAACAAGGGTTGCAATCTTCGAAACTACGTAGCCCCCACCCTCACCGTCACCCCGTTTGCCTATTGTCGCTGAACCCCGTGGTCAACAACGCCGCAGGTTCCACCCGAACATCTACAACAACGGTCAGATCTGTCTTGACATCTTGCAGAACCAATGGAGTCCGATCTACGACATCTGCGCCATCCTCACATCCATCCAGTCGCTCCTGTGCGATCCTAACCCGGCGTCTCCGGCAAACTCAGAGGTGAGACCCGTAGTTATGTAACGATGGTACAGAGCATGAAGTCAAGAAATTGAATCACTGATTCCAGGAACATGAGGTTAACCTGCAGCTTTCCTAGCGACGCACCCACAGTAGGAAAGTTTTCTCGGAGCTGGCTTGTGCTATTACGTTGGTTGTTTCAAGCTCACGGTTTCTCCTACTAGGATCCGATTCATGACATCCTTTTCATGGTGCTTCCGGCTTGCTTTGGCAACTGGTTGGGCGAGGAGTGTGTGTTAAAGGCATCGACAGCGCTAACCGGCTCATCAAATGAAAATACATCAGTATGTGTCTGCTCTATTTCCACACGTTGCGTTCTCGTTTTGCATGTTTTGTTGACATGTTGGGTAACCTTGAGTCTTATCTCAGCCTGGACGCACGCACAAAGTCACCGCGTCCTTCACATGCAGTCTACGGATTGTATCCCCTGACCCCAGTTTGTTTTTTCGTTTTGTTTTTGTCCGTAGTATCTCGGGCATGCGTCCCGGCTGTATGGATTGTATCCCCCGACCCCTGTTTGTTTTCATGTATTGCTTTCGCCCGTAATATCTCGGGCAGGCTTCCCGGCTGTACCAGGAGAACAGGCGAGAATATAACCGCCGCGTCAGGGAAGTAGTGGAGCAAAGCTGGGTGGACGAATGATGCGCACCAAGAAGAAAGGTCACCGGTAGTAGCAAGAAAAAAAGAAAATGATGCGGGGTCGTCAGCGTGTAGGAGTAATGTGGCTTGACGCATTAACAAACAGGTGTAGCACCGGAGACGGGTTGTTGTTGTTGGTGGAGCGTGGGTGGTGTTGCATTGATGCACATCCCGGGGACAGCCGTCCACGCGGCCGGGACGTTGGTTAGTTGGTTGCGCGCGAGGGGGTACGCGGCGACAATGTGAAGAAGGAACGCACCGCGGGCTGTGGTTGCGAAGGAGGGGAGGGGCACGCGCAGGGCTTGAACGTGCCTGTGACGGACTGGACCGTGGTAAACGATGGGCGTTGTATCCCCGTTCCCTCCGGTCCTGTTGACTGGCCTCAACTTGACAGGAGAGCGAGCCTGCGCACGCACACGGCGATACCGTAAAGAGACGTCCACACAGGCAGTTGCGCACCCGGAAGGGGTAAATAGTTGCATCGCTTTATTTTTTTTGTTGCGCAAGTGTTGTTTTGCGTTATGACTTGGGGGGTGGCGTCGCGTGTTTTTCGTTTTGGTCCATGCTGCTGGATGGGGTTGGGTGGGTGGGTGGGTGGGTGGGTGGGTTGTTTGGAGTTGAAAGAAGGGACAGGAGGGACAAGGACCGCTGCCCGTTGTTGTCGCTGCCCTGCGAACAGCCTCCCTCCGAGTCGGAAGATGCTGTTTTCGTGTATATTCCCGCTGGTGTTTTCTTTTTTTGATTGTATTCAGGGTCGCAGCGCTGGGCAGTCGACAAAAAAAACGGGGTTGCATCAGGGACGCAGGCGGGGGGGGGCATTCGCAGCGGAACGAATTCATGGAGGAAAAACCCTAACCCTATGGGGGGCATTGGAGGTGCATGGCCGTCTCGAACCGTGGGCGAGGAGGGACAGGTTTGGGTACCGACGCTGGAGTGACTTTTCCAATACAATCGGTGTCTCGTGTGTGCGTCCTGGGCAGCATGGTATATACGGTGCTTGCTTCATCATGGTGTGCGGTGCTTGGTAGCCACGGGCGATACCGACGAAATATTCAAGATTCGGGGGGGGGAGGGGGGGGAGGGATTTCCGGGCTTGTTGTAAGGCGTTGCGTGTGCCATTTCATGTTGTGAGTTGAAAGCGATCAAGGTTTCACGACCGAGAGTACATGTAGTTAGCGGGACTCAAGGGAAATGGTACTGCAATCGCGCTGGCGATTATTTGTTCGTTGATTGGCTTCCTTGAAACGTGCTTTCCGTCGCATGCCTTTCGTGAAAGCGGACGGTTGTGGTTCTCGCACGAAACCGAAAGTGATTCCTCCAGATGTTGGAGCTGTTGATTCTTGTTGTTTTTGTTTGCTGCCAGGATCTCTCCCTACACACGTACCACCCGTTATGGGTCACTTTCCATGAACAGAGTTTTGTTCAAGCCCTTGACGTGAAGGGGTCGATTTGTTTTTCTCGGCTAGGAAGCAAACCCCTTTTCGAGGTTTGCAAACAATCGCACGATAAAATCTGCACCCGGTCCCGTACCGACTTCCAAGAGCTGTTTCGCTCGTATTGTGAAGATATAATAGCGCTCAGGCCGAAATCGCCCGAACGGGTGTTGGTCTGTGGGACCCGTACCATCCGCGCATGGTTAATCTTTCCGAGTGAATGGTCAACAAATTCCTTGCCGCCAAGTCCAAACAACTGCATTCCCACCTCTCCGAATTGTGAGGACGTCGTTGTGGTTATTGCGACGGCTCCACTAGGTTGAGTATTCCGCCCGTTGAGTGGGAGTTCAGAGGGCTGCTCATCGTCACATTACACCAATTTGCTAAAGTTTTCTTGCTGTAAGCTTTAAGCACCTGTGCTCAACGAAACGGTTCTTGTCCCTTGCACCACGCGTGAAAACCATGCACCTCGTGACTCTTCAATTTACACTTGAGGCGTGTCCCGTGCGTTGCATACCGCGGGTGCAAGCTTTGTGATAGCGGCGACAGCACGAACCATGACAGGATCCTTGTTAACTTGTTGTCGTCCAATTCCAATCCCCAGTCCGAGCGGCCTACCTAAAAAGTGGTAGAACACAGCAGCAGCCACTACGACCCATCGGAGCTGTCCCCCTAATGTATGCCCAACCCAGGTTTTCCGCGTCCACCAATCCATCGCCTGTCGATACCGGAACACCTTCGTTCATGCTTTAGACTGCAACCCCGGCGAGAAGCGTACACCATTTTCCACCCGCCCCCCCTATCAAAACCACAACACGTTCGTCCGTGGTGAAGACTGTAATCCCGGCGAGAAGCGCACATCGTGGGGGCACCGTTTTCCGCTCCCCCTTATCAATACCGGAACACGTTCGGTCGCGGTTTAGACTTTAACCCGGGCAAGAAGCGCACGTCGTAGGGGCACTATTTCCATTCCCCCGTTCTCGCTCCGTTGGATTGTTCTTCCCTAGTCTACAGTACATGTGTTAAAAAAAAACACGAAACCATGGCATGTACGATCGAACGAGCGGCGATTGGTTACTTTACTTGTGAAGACCGCGGGTGAACTCACGCCAAAATCACATGTTCTCCTTCACACGATTATGTTTCATCCTTGCGGCCGTACGACACAAGCGACTTGCGGTTGACCTACAACATCAACACTCCGCGGTGGAAATAGCTGTCAGCCGCGTCGGCCGCTGATTCCAACAGCCTTACGTAAAAAAAAATGTAGACTACAGTAGTACGTACGTACATGTACAAGTCTGAAAGACTACCCGTTCGAGACAATACTACCTCTCGTGCAGCGCATGATAGCTGCTCGTTTTACCCAAGATTTCCACCCGTCTTCCATTTCCGGGGTGTTCGGCATCACCGCCTCCTCAGAATGTGCCACCTACCGGGACCGATCTCCGCAGCTACATATGCGCCCCCCCCCCCCCCCCCCCCCCCCCCCCCCCCCCCCCCCCCCCCCNCCCGACGGGCATAGGAGGGATGCAAGGTCAATGGCCCAACGATTACGGCCTGCGGGCACATGAATACCCTTAAACTTTTATGGCGAACTCACACAGCTTGAGCAGCGGACCTTTTACCGTTTATTTTTCGGTTGGCGACCCACAGCCCTCGTCATGTCCCCGAAGATAGGGTTGGCGATAGCACGAGACACCTCCCCCAGGTCGTCATCGTCGCTCTCATCGCTGGAGGCTCGGACGATAGCCAAACCATTGCTTCCCTCGCCGTCGGCGACGCGGACGGAGAAGTGTGTCTTGGCGGAAGACGTGTAGCTGAATGTGTCGTCTTCCCTGTCGTTCTTGAGGCCGAACTTGACCGTGACGCTGTCATTGAGCGACCTCTCGTCTGCCCTGTTGCTTTTTCCGTTAGTGTTCGTTTGCATCTCGATACCACGTATGCATTTCCTGGATTTGCTCGCTGCCCCGCTGAAGAATAGCTTGGGCCTTCCGGTATTATGTTGCTGCCCGCGTGGGGCGGGGCGTGGCCTTACCCCATCCCTCTTGGAACGCTTGCCGGAGTTTTTCTGGGTGCGGCCACAGGTGTCATTATCGTTGCCGGCGTTATTGTTGTTGCTGTTGACCTTCTCGCTACGCGTGTGGTTCTGAACAACGACCAGTCGCAGCGAATACGAGGAAGAAGAACGACACGGGGTAGCGGAGGCAGACCGTGAGAACATACACAACACGGCACGTACATATGCTTCTAAAAATCGGAGGCCTGCTGAGAACATATCACCAACAGATCGCTTACCATCGGCCCCCTTTCCCCTTGCTCTGCTGCTGTTCTGTTCAACCTGTCCAGAATTTCCTCCCTGGCCCTCCCGAAGGTGTACACTGACGACGCCATGCTCCTGACGATGCCGCCACGGCACTCGGCGGAGAGGGGCACGAATCGCGGTGCACCGTCTCGAAGGTAGGTATCCAGTATGCGCATTGTCGCCGCCTGAACGACGGGCAGACAGAGCACGCTTTAACGTTTCAAACCTGTTGTAGGGAACTACGGTAGATATGATACTCGCCATGTCATCGACGTCCAGAGATCGATTGCTCCATAACCAAAGAGGGCGTGTGTGTGTAAACATAGCCGTGCAGAGTAGTCGTTCGACCATTGACCTCGCATTCTTACAAAGCCGGGACGTTGCAAGCCGGGTTCTCGCCGGGGCAGGCCCTCACATCACCAAACGCGAAGCGCCGTGAGGTATTCGGCGAGTGGCATGGAGGGTGCGATACATCCTGCTAGGCGTGTTCGGCATCATGTGCTTACTTCCTTGCATACCGATGACAGCTGCGAACTACTTCAATTATTTTCTGGTGCTGCTTTCACTCCCAGAAGCCAGATATAAGCACTGTGTAACTGCCTCGAGGGTGCTCGACCAATTCAACACAACGTGGTGCGATCACACCCTCTGCAAGGAGTAAGGGTTCTCGACCCCGCACAGCATATTCTACTCGACCACCGTCATGGTTACCGTAACAAAAACGGTGGCAAAAAAAAAGCGGTAACCTGGTTGCCGAGCTCACGAAGTGAACGGCGTGTTGTACAACGTCGTTGCAAACCGACAAAAACCCATCCCCAACGGCAAACACCGGGAGAGGGGGAGAAGGGGGAGTGCGAAAGAACCCCCAACCGACACGAGGTGAAAGGAGAGCTTTCACTTGACGAGAGAGATATTTCCAAAACGAATGACAGCCCATTCTCCGGCATTCTCAGTCATATGGGTGCGGATATCCATGCTCCAAAATTCGATCGGTCGTATCCTATACATCACGCTCAAGTTCCACCACCCAAATGGCGACCAAGAAAGTTTTCACGAGATTGGTTTTGAACGGCAGCCTGAGACTTCTGAGACTCCGGGGGACGGGGTTGAGACTGTGTGAGAGCGCGTGGGGACCTGCGTGCTAGTCTGGCAGGTCAAGAGACTATCTTGCCTAAACAAGAGCATTGAAGGGCCTTTTCTAGAACCTAACAGCGTTCGGTTTGACTTTATTTCCTATTCTGCGGTACGGACGCCGGCATGCTCACATCGTGTCCATTCTAGCCATGTGTCCGAGAAACCTCTATGTCCGAGAAACCTCATTGTTGGCGGTCTATTACACTAAAAAGGGACAACTATCGAGAAAAAGACAACTCGACGACGACCAGAAGCGATTGCCCCGCGCCATGAGAGAGTACCACACAGTCTACCGATCAAAACAACGACACGAGTGGAAGATTTCTCACCTGACGCAGACAGTAGTCTTCTTCCTCATCCCGCGCAACCATATCCAGAAAGCACGCTGCGTCCGTGGCGGACGCTTGTCCCAGCGCATCTCGACCCGGCCTTCTTACCAGGTTATCGACCCATCTGATTTGGCTCTGCACATGAACGTCCTGGGCACTTTCGGTTTGTTTTCCCCACTTGCCGAAGCCATACACCCCGCTGTCCAAGGGGGGCGCAGCGGAATCGACAAGTGGGGATGCAAAAATTGCACATGCGTTACTTTGGTCCTGTGCCGATCACATATATATACATTCGGCAATCCACACTCCTCATCATTCCGTTCTCAGCATCATCATTCGAAGAAAAATATGTAGACCCGAATAGCACCATTCAGGGGAAGAGGTAGAGCGCGCGCTTTCGACATTATCGCCCGTTAGAGACCTAACGCCTTCGAGCAACAACAACGCGCTTCAAAAGGAAGGCACCATTCGACAAAAACACTGCGCGAGGGCATCAAGTACCTCCGGCGGAAACACAATATTATTTTTTCATGTCAACAACGCACAACACCACCCACCCGCTATTAAACTCGTCGTCCTTGAAAACAAGCAGCCGGAGGGGATGCAGCACCGGCGCCGCCACGACCACCATCCCGACCAGCGCCGTGATCACGAGCATCGCCGTACGACGACGATGCATGGCCGTCTCGTCGGCCGTGTCCCTCATGATCGTCTCCACCAAGGGCAGGGAGACCACGGCTAGGGCGAGCGAGGCGGACGTAGCCACGGCGGACAGGAACTCGTGCGGGGCCTGTTGATTCCGGCGGCATGTGGCGTGCGAAGTTGTCGCTGACAGGTATGAGTGGTGATGAGGGTCTGGCGTGATCGGTAGTCTAGCGTTCTCGAGGTGATAAAAAAATTACCCGGCCGCAATCCACCATCATCACTGGTTGCGGAATTGCTCGTTTTGGTGGGACCTGCTGTGGCAGTCATCATCGGAGGAGGAATGTCAAAGTAATTTGTTCAACTCCCGTAGCCCTTTGGCTCTTGGGAAACGAATCGCACACGTCTCTGAACATACGGACGTCCTGCGAAGTTGATCTAAAACGCTGCCGCACGTTTGGATGGCTTGTATTTACTCTGCCAGTGTTGCTGGTGCCGGTTGCCAAGCTGAACAATAAAAAAAGACGAGGATCGTCTTCGACCCTCGCTACAGAAAACAGCGCGACTACCTTTCTCCACTTTCTCGCCCTCCAAGGGCCAGTTGGCACCCCTCCCACACACCACCACTGCTGCTGTGCGCACCTGCGATCGCACGATGCGGAGACGGAACGCCAGCGCCAATGCGACCGCCGCGAGAATACCGGCAGCCACCCATTCGCTGATATCCGGTGGCTGCCAAGTCTCCAGACACTCTCCGGCCGTGGAGTCAAACGTCGGAGTCGCGTCATCAGCTCTCGCCAAGACCATGGCCGGGCCGATGAGAAACGGCAGCAAAAGCGTGGCCACCTTCATGTTTTGTTTGGGCAGTGGTGCGGGCCCACGGCGGTTAAGAAACCTCACGTGAAGAAACTGAGGCTAAAATTTTCACGAAAAGAAACAAATTACGTGTGTTTGCAAAAAGAAACATGTGTGTAGCTCAGCGGTGGGTTCTACACTAAACTTCACAGCGTACTGTAGCAACCCTGTACTCGACAGTGAGCGGAGACGAAATAAGAAACTGAGCCTAGACCCGATTTTGACTTTTCTTGTCTGCGGGCTCGTACTGTTCAGACAACACGACGACCTAGAGGACGATGCGATGCATGGGTTTTAGCATTCTGACGGTGGTTGTTTGTATGGGTATGGCGAGGAGGGGGGTGGGGGGGGTGTACTCATAGTCGTGCATGCCGTAGTCGTTCACCATGTTGACCTCGCATCCCTACAAAGCCGGGACGGAGCACGCCGGGTTCTCGCCGGAGCAGGCTCTCACATCACCAAGCGCGAAGCGCCGTGAGATGTTCGGCGAGTGTATGAAGGGTGCGCTGCATCCTGCTAAGGGTGTTCGGCATCTTGTGCTTACTTCCTTGCGTACGGATGACAGCTGCGCATGACACAATGATTTTCTGGTGTTTCATTCCAGAGACAGTTACAATCACTGGGTAACTGCCTCGAGGGTGCTTGACCAATATTACACAACGTGGTGCGATCATCCCCTTTGCGCGGAGTGAGGGTTCTCAACCCCGCACAGCATATATATGTAGTCTACTCGCCACCATCTAGCTATAGTTACCGCAAGAAAAATAACGAAAGGCAAAAAAAAGCGGTAAACCTGGTTGCCGAGCTCACGAAGTGATCGGCTTGTTTTTCAACATCGCTGCCAAGCGACGAAAACCCAACCCCGATGGCAAACATCGCCGGAGTGGGGGGGGGGCAGTCATGGCCATGCATTTCGTAGTTGTACATAGGGCCGGTCGCCCCGGTGATGTAGTGGGTAGCTTCGCAGTCTGCCAAGGGCCAGGTCATGGGTTCGAGTCCCGACAGAGTGAGTTTTTTCTCGCTAGTTAGATCCTGGTCAGTACATGCAGGACTTGATGGACTTCGTAAGTCGCGAGGGAGGGAATTGCTGTATCCTTCTCGCGATAAAAATACCTCAGGCAGGAATCACAGGAGGTCAACCCCCCCCCTCCTTTGTGTCCCCGGTTGGGTCGTCTAGCTGGTAGAAGTGGAGGATAGGGGCCAGAGGGGCAGACGACAGAGTCCAATGATGGGAGAAAAAAAAAATATATATATATATATATATATAGGGGGCAGAAAATGGGACGATGAAGTCATGTACATATATAGATGGACTCACATATATACGTTACGGCATCATCACGGTGTCATGCTTTGTCTGTTTTGTCGACCCGCCTGGAGCAATCTCTGTGATATGTACCCACATACACTAGTTACACTGCTGTGGCGACGACTGTTTGACGTGTGACCAAGAGCATATTGATGAGTGAGAACCTGATGGCGTTCTTGGAGCACCACTGAGGTGTTGGTTATCGGTGTTGTCTTCGCTCAAGTGTCGTTTCCGACCTTAGCATAATGATTAATCAATCTTCCCTGCTCTCTGAAGGTAAAGTCTAATGGGAAGCACTTCCTGGGCTAACCTTGATGTAAGGATACGTATTGCAATGCACATATTGACGCAGAGGGCTCAACAAGAACATTTAATTGAATGTTGAAGTAACCGAGCGAGTGCGCGATTCTCGAAGTATATTTTACCCATGGCGTGATGAATGGATGCATACCTACGTGTAGTCTGCACTCCTACCTGCACCGTGACTGGCAACATGACGCCGCTGTGCCTGACCAAGACGTTGTGGTATCGGTACACCCGGACGACACCGCAGGAGAACAACGCCCCCAAGCTAAACATTGCGAGGGAAACCCCCGAGCAGTCCACCACGTCTCCCCACATGCCGTATCGTATGCTGACCCAAACGGTTGCCAACATCGTCTGGTCAACACGAGGGAAAGGCGGAGGGGCGGGATGGGCGTGATGCGTTTCCACCACCGGCCGCAACCTACATTGAACTCTTCGGACCGTTATAGGTGAAGGGGTCCTTCTTGGGATGGGGTCTTCTCTCCTGCACATTTTCGGCCAAGCCACACGGTCGGCTTCGGAACATAGCGTCCCTTGTACCTAACTGATGTGCTGCTTGTTTTGTCTTCTCTCTTGACTCGTCTTTCCTCCAATCAATGTTTTCGTGCACTCGGTCCCATTATTTGTGCACCTCCTGCTGTGAGCGAGAAGCGTCACAAGTAACAGCAAAACATGTGGCTTCTTGAACTGCTGTACAGCAGCAGCAGCAGCAGCAGCAATGCGCGCGGTGAAACATTCCGGATGTAGACTACTTCAACACAGGATTGATGCGGGATCCACTCACAGCTAAACCTGTGTACACGATGAGCCCCGGGTGAACGGCCTTGTAGGGAGGCCATTGCCGAAAGAGGACGATGTGAATCAAAAGGAGGGCTACGATGAAGTCGACGACGGCGGCGAATCCAATTGCACCGATGTTGTCCGCCACGCTCACCACAACGGCTGTCTCGGCTAATGCCCGACTCGCAAACCGCATCGCATCAAGCAGTGTTGCTCTCCTGGCGGATCACCGACAGCTGGGCGTGGCCTGGGTTGCCGCAGCTGTAGCCACCGCAAGCGATCCCTCGAAAGATCTCTGGGTGTTGTGGCGAAAAGACAACAGCGGTACAGACAGGTGTTTGGCTGCTGCGTATGGGGACGATGGGGGCCGAACGGGGCAGCAGCAGTGTGGCACGCCTCAGGCTCGACCAAAATGAGATGGCTGTAACGAGCTGCCGGAATGCAGACCCACATTATTGCTGTCCCAACCATGCAGGTATCCTGGTCGCGATATTCTACAAATCAAATCGACCTCGCTCGGTGTTCAAAAGAGAAAAGCTAGTGTGAAGCTTTGAGACAACTCACAACACAAAGGAGGTGATGTGTGTAGATCTACAGAGCTACAGAGTACAAGCATACACATGGACAGCTGCTTGACAGAACGGAGAAGCCATGACTATTGTGCGAGGACCATAGCAATAACAGCATCATGAGACACTGGCGGAGCAGAGTGTAGCAGTACTACTTTATATCCATGAAGGGCTCACAGAGATACCGTATGTTGGAGCAGGACAACTGCTGCAGTACAGCAGTAGTACCCCGCCCCATGTCTCATTCACTAGAGGAGGTTCAGCGTTGCCCTTGAAAGATCCCAAGAAGGCTCAGTTGGTTTTCGCGTCAGACATCAAACCCCTGCGGCGCGTCTCGTCAGGCGTCTCCGCAGCTCTCACGCGGTCCCAGACCTCCATACCTCTGCGCTGGTCGCTGGTGTCCAACAACCGTGTGGCTTCATGCCCGTTCTGCCTAGATGACGGCTATCATTTTTTCAACCACGGGAAGGAAGGCAACTTACTTGCCAAAACTTTGGTTACTTTAGTCTACAGTATGAAGACGATGTGGCTACCACCACCATCTGGACTGCTGCGCTAGGACTGGACGCGCCGCACCCGGCCACAACTCTCTCCACCTGTTTGGTTGGCTTCGCCGTTCACTCTGTCGATCCGGTCGTGGTGCCAACTCTGTCGCCGAAAGGGTACATGTGTAGAAGTGGAGAAGCAGCAGCAGCGAAAAAAGCTTGCACGCCTTTCATCGGAGAAGAAGAACCACCTTCGATTGTTTCTCCTCAAGACTTCTCAGGAAGAAATGGATGGGCCGAACTGGATATGTTGTACGACGTCATTTTTTTTCTTCTAAATATCACACAACAAATCCATCTCTACATATCTATAGAAATACGTCTAAGATAGATGAGCAGTGGATCCATAGCGTGAGCGAAAGGCTACCTGTATGTCTACGGTTTCCCAGACAGCATACAACGATAACTCCCCTGTGGGTAACAGGTTCAACAAGGCAGTTTGGTAGCCATCTTGTGTATCTATCTGTATCTGTAGACTATGTTTTGTTGTGTTGGGAAGATTTTTGACGGAAGATCAATATGACCCAACGAATCCATCTCTACCTTTTCATTTTTTCCTCTTTCCTTTGTCCTTCCGCCATAGACTATTTCTGGCTTTGTAGTTTAGATGTCAACCATCGCAATGCCATCGGCGCAGTGCCGTTCGATATGAAACTGGTGCACCGCACAATGCGGTTCGATATGAAACTGGTCCGTTCATACTACTAGACGAAGACAACACGACGGGTGTGTTGTTTGTTGTTTTTTGTTTGTTGACTTCACATTAAACCGTATGCCAGTTGCTAAATGCCAAAATCTAGCAAAGACTCTCGGCCCGTGGTCACGAAAGTGCTAGAGCCATCTGAGGATCTAAAGAACACGCACACGTAGCAAGAAAAAGGTGTACAAGAGCCCGAAGAGGTACTACTACACCTATATATAATCCCTGCAGCACCGTACGCGTGCCCAAAACTGAACTACACGTCCGTCTCACCGTTCGACTACAGCAACATC